TGTGTGACATGGAACCTATGATAGTCGAAACCATGGGACGATTCCTGAGGTATCTCTACTTGTAACCGACTTCTTCGGACTTGGTTTTGTTTTGTTTCTGTTCAAAGACAATCGTTTTAAGAGTGTAAACTCCGGTCGTGCGTCGGAGCTGACACACACATTTTTTTTCTAATCCCGGTGGGGGCAGATGTTTGCGTGATGAATACGAGCGTTTGTGCTCCAGTCATGGATGTTTAATATGTATTTCTATACACCCCCTCCCCCCACCTTCCTACAGCTCAAATATGAATAGCCCATTCGCCATACCTTCTGAAAAAGAACTTCACTTCAATAAATACTGTTTATTTTCCTCAGTCACTACAGAATGCAAGTGCACAGAAAAAGGAAAATTGCGCAGACATTGTTTTTTTTGATACTGCCATAGACACGTTGGAAGTAAAGCTTTTTGTTTTGAAAACAGCAGACAGTTCAATCTGTTCATTTTTTTAAACTAGACCGACTTCCAGGTTATATTTGTTATTTTTTTTTGTAATATTGCCTGTCCTGTCAGAAACAAATGAAAGTTCGTGTCCTCGACGCCGTTTTCTGGAATGAGATCGTCGTTTGTTTTTTTAAATATTCTCATATTGTTTTCTTATTGGATATTCGACTTTCGTCGCAACTTCGTTTGCATATAATTTCCTTTCCCTTGGGAAGTTGCAAGGAAAATGTTGGAATCTAGTCAGCTGGAAGCTTATCTAAATTTAACAACTTTTAGGAAATGTGTCTTTCTAATTAAAAATACTCACAAAGTAAAGTGTATGCCGCGTCAAATATAACAAGTGCAACTGCAAACTTTTCACATCTGTAAATAAGTAAACATAAGTGTCGCCGCACACGTGCCACACGCCATAGACACAAACGCCGCCACGAGAAGCTAGAAGCGGCTACTAAAGTGGCTGAAGCGCGCGACAGCGGCCGACTAAGGTAAGGGAGAGAGGGGTGGGGAATCGCGCGAGTGACGTGTGGCGGCGTTTTGTATCGGCGTATTAAGTGACCGGTGCGGGCCACAAGAAGCGAGCAACGACGATTTGCAGTGTGTGGCGGCCACCGGCGTACCGTGTGTGGCGAGTCCATATAAAATGTATGAAAACTACAAGAAATATGCCGGTGGCGGCGTTTTGTGGTTGTGGTCGGTGGCCCGTGTGCGGCGACATTAAGGGAATTCTAAATACAATGTTTCCAAGAGAAAGTCCTGTTAAGCCTGTATGAAGTTATATATACTTAGTTACAGAACAGAAACGCCCTGTCAACTTTTTGAAGTGATAACGGCTTATGGGAGGTTAAACAGCTTCGTTACGTAACGCGTTACGGCGCCAGGCTGGCTTCCCTTCTTCTCACGGATACGGCAGTGTATTGGGGGTGATAACGGACCCAGTGCGGATTGGTGGGTGATAACGGACCTAGCGCGGATTGGTGGGTGATAACGGATCCAGCGCGGATTGGTGGGTAATAACAGGCCCAGCGCGGATTGGTGGGTGATAACAGGCCCAGCGCGGATTGGTGGGTGATAATTGCCCCAGTGAGGATTGGAGGAGACTAACGGACCCAGCGCGGATTGGTGGGTGACAATGGACCCAGTGCGGATTGGTGGGTGATAACAGACCCAGTGGGGATTGGTGGGTGAAAATGAACCCAGCACGGATTGGTGGGTGATAATGGACCCAGTGCAGATTGATGGTTTTTTTTTCTATCATTAAATCTTCAGGTTAAGTTTATGATTTTCAGATCATTGGAGCTAAAGAAGTTTCACTTCAGTAGTGTGGTCATAAGCACACTTGCTTTATTTTTATAACCATCAAAAGTGTCCCAATGTGTGTAAGTTTTGAAATGATTAATGGGAAACCTGTTGCAAAAATAGCTGTTTTTTTATGAGTGTGAGTATTTTGCGTCGAAGCCCTGATTAATTTTCTATGCAATCGGTATATTTGCTGTGCAATCGGTATATTTGCTGTGCAATCAGTAGATTTGCTGTGCAATCAGTATATTTGATAATGAAATATGAAAATCATATTTCTGTACAATTAAACAAGTTTTTTGTTACTACAGATTAGATGTATATTTTTGAATTATTTTCAGCACTAGTTTTGTTCAACAGATGTTTCGTGTGCAGTAAAATAATCATTTTGATTTAAAAAGTATTAATTGCTGTAAATAACTTGATGGGTAATAAGTTAGTTGCTGTGCATTTAAAAATATCCCATTAATAAATTGACGACCTCCGTGGCCGAGTGGTTTGTACACCGGATTTCAAGGTGTGGTCTACTCGAGGGGGGTTCGAATGCCGGTGGGGGCAGATGTTTGTGTGATGAATACGAGCATTTGTACTCTAGTCATCGATCTATATAAATATTCTTATATATGTATCAATCAGTATATGTATTCAATCCGTTACCCTAGTATACCATAATACAAGCCTGCAGTACTTACTTTGAGGCCAGGCTAATTGGTGTAAAATAAAAATATTAAGAATGTATCTGCATCTGCAGTTATTAGCATTCAACAATCGGTGTACACCCAGGCCTTTCTTCTTGAACAACGACCATAGACAGGAATGCCTGTTCAGTTGCAATTTTACACACAACAACGTCTTAATTTTATTTGTCTATGTTTTGCTCAAGATGTAATCATAATCAAATTCATTTATTTAATTTAGGCTGTTACGAGTACAAGCACTCATGAATGTATAGAAGCTACGCTAAATCTACGGTGGGAGACCTTGTACTGAGAAGAACCGACAAGAAACTCAGCAAGGGCTTTTTTGTCCCTGTTTTATTATTAACAAAGTGGTGAAGTTGAAAAATAACTTCAGAGATGATGCATGAAGTCACCTTTCATTACATAATGATTAAATATACAGTGATTGTTTACCTGCATTTTGATTGCCTTGTCATCTATATACACACATCAAAAGTGTCTAGGGATCAACATATATTTTTGCAATAACTTTTCTCCTGATTGATATTAATTAAAATTTTCTTTAAGGATTCATCAAATAAAGTGTTTTCGTTTGTCACAGTAACGATAAACCAAGTCACCTTTGCATTAATAAAGAAATTTGCCATTTTCCTAATAAAGGGATTTTTGACATTTGAACCACTAACACAAAAGTTCGAAAAAAAGACTGAAATAACAGTTTTCTCTAAAATTTTATTGGGTAACTTAAACAATTAATAATCCGTATTTCTACCGCGAACACTAACAACACAAGAACATCGGTTTGGCATACTCAAAATGAGTTCATCCAAATCACGCTGTGGAATGGCCGCCCATGTTCGTTGCAACAACAAAAAAAGGTCTTCTTGCGACTGGATACCCTCCATATTCGGCAGAGCTCTTCTCTGTAGCATATCCCATGCATGCTCAATCGGGTTCAAGTCTGGCGACTGAGCAGGCCAGGGCAGGACATTGATGTTAGCTGCGGCGAGAGTCTGTCTTACAACTCTTGCGGTGTGCGGTCGTGCATTATCATGCATTAACTGAAATAAGGGACCGATTTGCACTTGTAGAGGAACGATGACGTCTGATACAATCGTCTCAGCATAAATTTGAGCGTTGAGGTTGCCTCTGATCCAAATCAACTCAGTTCTTCCGCCGATCCAAATACCCGCCCATACCATGATGGTTCCACCACTATAAGGATGGACTTCCTGGCAGGATTTTAATCGCTGTTGGCGTCCAGGGGTTCTCCAGTGTCGTATACGTCTTGTATCCGGTCTCATACCAAAACGAGACTCATCAGAAAAGCACACGAAACGCCATTGTTCTTCTGCCCAATTTCTGTGTTCAAGAGCCCATTGATATCGAATCCTACGATTGTGCATTGCTATAGGTGGTACCCGTAGCGGTCTTCGGGAATGAAGGTTCACTTCATGCAAGCGGTTTCTGACTGTTTGGTCGCTAATTAAGTTCCCTGAAGAGTGATGAAGCCTCACGGCTAACATCATGGCGGTTATTGTTGGAGCTCTTCGAGTTAAGATTTGAATGTATCGGTCTTGTCTCCGTGTGGTGCAGCGATACCGTCCTCCATGGCGCTCAGCCACGGTACCAGTGCTTCGGTATCGTGTCCAAAGTCGACTGATAACACTCTGACTTGTATTCAGAGCTAAAGCCACAGTACGTTGCCGGGAACCAGCTTCTATCATTCCCACGGCTCTGAGCATTTCTTCCCTGCTTAAATGACGTCGCCGCTCCATAATAACGTTGGTTTTAATCAGTAGTAGGGAAACAGTAGCACTAATAATGTCTTCAATGCGTTGTATGTTTTATAGGGAAAATATTGACAGACAGAAAATATCTTTTACTCGAATTTGATTCACAGTTCCTGATTCAAATTATGAAATGCACCAAAAAGGATCCATATAAATTTATAAAATCATAAATTTATTACAAAGCCACATCTCAATCTCAAGAAATCCGCATAAAAATGCTTGATCCCTAGACACTTTTGATGTGTGTATATAAAACTCAAAGGTGACTTGACTGACATAGTGATCTACCAACGCACAGCCCAAACCACTGGACGAATCGAGCTGAAATTTGGTATGCAGGTAGATGTTATGACCTAGGCATCCTCTAAGAAAGGATTTTGATCAATTCTACCCCCAAGGGGATAAATTAGGGAATGAAAGTTTGTATTAAACTTTGTCAATTTTAAACCGATCGGGCTGAGACTTTGCATGCAGGTATAAGAAGAATTATAGATGAATGTCATTGTGTATATTACAAGCCTGAGAACAAAAACTGTAGTCTACACTTCAGCTCTACACCGAAGCGAAGCGTGGACGGCCGCTAGTATAGTATAAATACAAATAGTGTTATTCATATTATGTGTTTTTCTTTTGAAGATGTTTGCCGCTACCTTTAATAATAGTAAGGGTCTGTACTCCAGCAGTGCGGGCATTTGATGATGATGATGAATTAACGAAACAAGGAAAAACATACATAAAATAAAAATGCAGTATCTTTGTTAAACATCCTAATTTATTTACTTACTTTTGACTTTCAGTTCGCTTACATTTCTATATATACAAAATTTTCATTTTATCACAATCAAATTAGCGACGAGAATCACATTATAATGATATTACCTAATTATACATCCACGATTATGGGTTCTATACATATTTTTACTTACATCATCTATTAAATAGAAAACAGGTTTTATATAATTTATATAAAAAAAAAATTACTTTAATTATAATCAATACTTTGATGAATTCTTTTTGCACTACCTTTTTAAGATCTTTGCTACAATTCTCCAGTTGACTGGTAGGACTGGTAGAAAATGCCTAATGGCATTAAGTCAGACACTTGGACACTTGTGCAATAAAGTTTAAATAAATAAAAAAACGAGAATTTGAATGACTGCAATTTTAATTAAGTACAGACTTGGCTTTTAAATAAATATGAATACAGTGCTAAATATGAAATCATTAAAGACAGTTCATTTATTTGGATAGGGATGATGTCGGGGTAAATTAAAATATGAAATTCTATTCAGTCCGTCAGTTAGATTATCAAAAAATAATCCACACTTATTTTTTATTTTTTCAAGCGACCAAAATTGGCCAACCGTCTGTTTGGGACTCGTGACGTCACTTCTCAATAAAAAAATGTATCAACACTAATTGCACAAGTCATGCGACATTTCTAATAATTATAGTATCTCTGTAATGTTTTGTTTTTATGAAAAAAAAAAATTGGTGTCCAATATTTTTCATAATCTACCTAAAAGTTAGTCATCTTCCCCATTGATGAAATAATAAATGTGCCATAAACGTATCATTGTAGTGAACGTATCATTGAGCTAGTAAGAAGCATAATACTTGTTTCTTCATATTCCAACAATACTTTGAAGTTCAACGATCAATTTACTCACACATACTTATTACAGTTGTTCTATAAATTTGGAATGTTCACTCTTATCGGTGAATTACAAAGGCGTAGGCAGTGGTCAATAACAAATCACATTTAATCAATTTGAATACACGTATACATCTTCGTATGCTTATAACTGACAGATTTTCTTATGCTTACAACGCAAAACGAAAGCATTAATAAATACATGCTATTATTAAACACAGCTATTCATTAATTTGTGACATTTAATCTGTAATCTCCATACCAAAAGTCTGTCAACGGCGAGTTACAATAATCAAACGCCGGTGAGAGCCTATAAGCCTATTAGAGCTTTGTAGTGTAGACTATTACTTAGAAACGATAGCCTGTTATCCTTACCTTTTATTGGACGTTTATTATTGGAACTAGCCGTGAAACACTCAAAGGAATTTATGACCTCAGCAAAATCTAGAAGGCGTAGATCAAGATGGCGGCAGAATCTTGTACCGAACGAAACGCCATTCTAGTGCCGAAGCGGGATCTATGACATCATTAAAATCAAGATGGTGGCGGAGTTTAAAGCGCCAGCGCTGACACACGGGAACTATGGCGTCATTAAAATCAAGATGGAAGATGGCGGCGGAGCTCAGAGCCGCGAGCGACTCCAGCGCCGACGCGGGATCTATAACGTCAGTACAATCTAGATGGCGTAGATCAAGATGGCGCCGGAGTTTTGAAAGCTGACGCGGGATCTATGACTTCAGCACATTGAGCGCCAAAGCGGGACCTTTGACGTCAGTACTATCTAGATGGCGTAGATGGTGTCGGAGTTTTGAGCGCTGACGCGGGATTCACGATGTCAATGCAATCCAGCTGGCATAGACCAAGATAGCGATGGAGTTTGGAGCGACAGCGCGGGATCTATGACGCCAGTACAATTTAGATAGCATAGGTCAAGTTGGTAGCAGAGCCAGAGTCCTGAACCGCACGCACCGCCATGCCAGCGCCGGAGCGGGATCTATGACGTCAAAACAATCAAGATGGCGTATACAAAGATGGCGGCGGAGTTGTGAGCCGCGCGCGACGCCAGCGCCGACGCGGGGTTGCGGACGCACGCGCGGAACTCGTGGTAGTCGGCGCGCGTTATCGCGCAGTAGTGCACGTGTACGCACGCCGAATCGCACTCGGAAATGTCTTGAGAGTGACGGACGCGCAACGCAGTGAGGTATCTAGGGAAGGAAATTTTTATATTGTTTTTTAAACTTTCACAGTCATAATATCACGAGGTCACTGTAAATATGTAGACATGGCACTTGCAACAGTGCCTAAACAGGGATTCGTATCGATCGTATAACACTAGCTTAGTACATGGTAGCAATCTCGCTAATAACATAAATGACTATAATGTCATACTAATTGGTTTAAACTTTCATGGTCATATCATGGAATATATGTGATCATGGCAGTTTAAACAGTGCCTAAATATACGGAACTCGCGAATAATAATGTAGAAGTTAGCAATCCCGCTAATGACAAATTACTGTAATGTTTCTCCCACACCTGCGCGACGCTGTGGTACTAAATACGCTAAAATCAGCATTCGAAATTTGAATTTAGTTTTATTGTGATTAATTATCGAGCTGCGTGTCTTTATGATAGCTAGACTGGCAATTTTTGACACACATAGAAGAGGTTGTGGACTCAATAAATTAAGACGATTGTATGTGTAGCTGGAGGAGCTTACTAACGATGTAACTAATTCAAATTTGAAATGAAAGAAATAAATAATTTAAATAAGATTGCACAAAACAAAAGCAATAACAAAAAAGAGGCTTACTAGGTCTAGCCACGCCTACAGCGACGCCAGAGCCGCTGCAGCGCTGATATTCTGGCAGGGCCTAAAGTTGACGAGAATGCTTATTTAGCGCTTTTTAGTTCGTACGTCACGCAGGTGTTTATCAAGAGTTCTCTTTTTGGTGATATGCATGAGATTTTGCTTTTTCCATATGCAAAGTAAAGACGTAGAGAATGGATAGGTATTCCCTAACCAATTAAACCTTAAGTAAAATTGATCAGATAAGTGTGAGGGAGACGAGGCGACACGTCAGTCCTTAGTTCTTCTGTGTACTAATGGTTGTTTTTTGTCTCTTTCGAGAGAATGTTAATTTTTATTAAGAGTGTCGCTAAGTCTATTGTCTATGTCTATAGGGATTTAGATTTTCTTATGGAAGTATATTTTATCTCATAGAAGACTTCGATATTGAATTTTACGGGTTACGACATCATTACTGTTGCCCAATGCAGATCTGTACTACTATTTAAATGCAGTTACAACTTAACATCAAAATCAAAAATCATTTATTCAGTCTAGGCTGTTACAAGCACTTGTGAAGGACAAGAGTAGCTTCTTGTCCTTCACAAGAACCATCGGTTCGCAAAAATCCGGGAGACCTAGTACGGAGAAGAACCGGCAAGAAACACAGCAAGGGATGTTTTTTTCTCCCTGTATGTACAAAGTCCCTGTACAAAGTCGTCAAGTTGAAACATGACTTCAGAGATACTTTTGAAGTCAACATCAGGCCATTTGCCAGGCTTTTTCAAAAAAATGCATACAAGTTACAGAGCATATTAATCTCTATAATAACTTAGGCCGACCTTAGAAAAAACTTTTCTTGCTATACAAATGACCAAGTACAAAAAAATGGAACTGAAACAAGGACTCTAGCTTGTTAATAAAATTCCGTTCAAACTATAAATCGGAGCGATATTTTCTTTTCAGTTCAAATTAAATATTGTATGTTCTACTCACTTTGCAAATACTCCTCTGTCGTTGTGGTTCCGGATTCTTTCTGCGAGCGCTTCCAGAGAGGTGGCACTGACCTCTCGCAGTCCATAATATTGTGTCAGGTTATACTCTACGGCCCAGTGGGCTTCGCCCCTGGTATTGGTTACGTCTAAGTAATACTGAGTGTAGTCCAATACCTGGAAACAAAGGTGCATATGAAACAACCGTATCTTCACCGCGATATGTTAAAAAGCTCGTTTTATCAAAACAAATTGTCAAATTACTATGATATCTGACAGTTAGACGCGATAATAAACGTGTTATACCTAATGTAAATTGTGCAAGATTATTTTATGAATTATATTTGATTTATTGTTTTAAACTTCATGGTCACTAACATTGTATAATAAAAGTAAATTTATGACTTCGTCGGAGGGTAGACCGATATGTCTGCCAATAACATCCTACCCGCAATTGCTTCAGTTACTCCGTGATCATGGCGCTTGCAACAGTGCCGAAATATCTTGCTAAAAACAAGGTACATATTTGATTTTTCAGGAATATTGTGAGTAAGACAGGAAATTTCTTTTTATGTGTATTCTTTTTGATTTTCATCTTGTCATGTGTTATATTATTATTACTACGTTTCACTGCCTGCCATTCTGTTATTTAGATTCATCGTCTTAGAATACAAGGATATTAAATTGTGGTAGAATAATAAAAACATTGCAGAACTCGATTTGAAAAAAATATCACACAACGGTGACAGTGAATCAGAGTTAAAAAAAATAGTAAAACTTGCATATATTTTTAAATAGTTCCACGAGCCATTAGTTGCGAGGAAGTAAGTCTTCGCTAATGACCCAATTAGTCTGTGCAACATTTCTCGCTCTACGAAATAATTTGATGTTACCAGAATGACGGATGCAAAACTGTGAAAATGAATGCAATTTATTTTACGGAAACTGCCTTACTGTATGAATATTATAAAGGTGTTTCATTAATGTGGATACTAAGAGCAGAATTCCCTTTTTTATCTAAGTTTAATTTTAAGTGATAACGGCATGTTTTTATAATCAAGTCCAGTAAGATTTGTTGTCTAGATATTTTTATTATATACATTAATTTAAAATAACAAGAAACGGACCCAGATTATCATTTCCTGACTTCTGGAGGTTGATTTATTAAAATTTGCTGGTATTGATATTATGCTTGTAATTAAACTCACCTTTCCAGTATTAGAATCGAACTTATACAGTCTTAGTCCCGGGTTAGATATACTGCCAGCACCTCGAGGCGTCAGAGACGGTGCTAACAAGGCCCACGACACAGGCCGACCTTAAATATATAAAAACTTATTGTATGTATCTGTGGGGGATGGGAGGTTCAGTAACAATGTAAAACGCCAAAATGCAGCTAATAAAGGTATATTAAATCACTTTTACTGTAATTTTAGCCTAGCACGTGTTTTTTAGGGATCGCAACGTAGTACGGTGTCACTTCCAGAGCGGCTCGCGGCAGACTGGTTAGTGCCCGTGCAACGGCTCATAACGGTTATCCGCGGGATCGGCAGTGACATCACACTACCCTACATTTTTAATAAAAAATATAATATAATTGAGCGCGTCGCTAACAGTACCTATAACCACTCGTTTACACCAAGAAACAAGTCATATACTAGTTTTAAACAAAACTTGTAGATTATTCGTTGTGGCTGTTTAAAACATTATTTCGTTTACACTGCATAGACAACTTGTATCTGACAAATATAAATCACTGATTAACTTCAGATATTTTGTGTATCCAACAAGTTTAATGCAAGTATTGTATACTACATGTTTTATACATGTATGTAAGTGTGAACAACAAATAAAAACACTGTATGAAATTTGTTAAATACATATATTAAACCTTGGTGTAAACGAGGGGTAATGAAACAGAATGGTAACTCGGTTCAAAAAGAGATGAATGAGAGAAGCGGTTTTTATTAGCTTTTCAATAAAATAACTAAATATGGTGCTAATTAGTGATTGCCCAGTATTTTCTCTTAAACATTATAAATTACTTCAAGTGCAATAGATTTCTGTTCCTGGAGAGTATAGAGCCAGACAAACATAGAAATTTCTACGAGATAGGTAACTGAAGTATATTTTAGGAAAAATCAGTCATGCGCTGGAATTAAAATACACTGCCTGATATTTCATGGATGATTCCAACGAAGCTATTTTATGCGTGTTAAAATCTCGATGTTTAGCTCTTTATTTGTATTTTAAACAACATCGAAATGGTACGTCGATCGCCAATAAAACCACCTATTCAAAAATGTGCCTCGTTGCCCCCATTAAAAACGTCATAAAACCTATTCAAATATTTGTAAAAGTACCAAGCGTTTGTGCTAACGACCTTCCCAAAAAACTGCAGCCAAACTTCGTCTTAGTCTACTAATACTATATCCGTATTGCATTCCTACATTTATTCCGATTCCCAAGGCTCCACGCGGTTAAACATCTCTGGCATATTATTCCCAATAATTGATTTGTTGATTTTACTAACTCAAATATGAGGCAATGTTTAAGTTAAGAGTGGAGGAGCTGCCTCGACAAGGCTAAGTTTATTCTCTGGTATATGCTAAAATATTAGGTGATGTATAAGGAGGAAGTACCGTCTCTATAAATAAGTCTGAACGTATCGGCGTGACGGTGGCCGTAGAACTGGCCGGCGATGATGTCGCTGAAGCCTTTTATAACATGCAGCAGCCGCGCGTTGGCAGAGGGGATCAGCTCCCCCCCTCCTGATGCCGAGGAGCTGCCTGCGTTGTGGCGTTCCTCCACCCCTGGTCCGGCATGAGCAACTAAGTACACCTAGAAAGAAATGTCAGCTGCAAGGTTGATGCAAACAAGCTTGTGTTGGTATGGTATGCCAGTATTTTGTACTGTGCTTATTGCTTTTTTATCTCTTGAACTGGTAAAAACATGTTCATGAACTCATTTATGTAAATGATACCTACAGAAGAGATAAATGATACTTTAGTAGGTAGTCATCTAGCTAAACTAATTTTTAAAGGACATTGTAAGTTTAATAAACTTATAATTACTAATAACTGTGGGTTACCTACAATGCAAAAGAAAGCGCTGCCTTGCAGCCTAAGAAATACTAAAAAGAATTAGACACGACCATTTTGTAGTGTGTTTTTTTCTAGTCTATTCTTTAGATTTATGAGTATTCTTTTGGAATAAAATTTCAATTTATTAAGGCTAGTAATTATTTAAATAAAAAAGAGGAGTTTTATCTGATTTCTTACCATCTCTTTCTTTTTTCTGGCTTCTAGGAGGACGTCTTCTAGCCAGTCCCACTGAGCTCTGCCGCGATGAGAGTGAGACCCGTCACTCCTCGCAGCTCCTCCCGCCCACAGGACGCTGTTGAGCACCACTATCCTTAACTTGCTATGTGACTGCTCTATTGTGTAGTAACCTCCTGTAATAGAAATAGTTTCTTAGTACACGAATCATATTAGCTTTAATGTTATTAGAATGGAAGTCGTGTCCTCGTTCGTCAATACATAAATCTAATTTTCTTAACAATAACAACCTTGAGAAACATCAGACCCTAAAGGTTTTATTAGTTTGATTGAGTTAAGCTGCTGGCATATATACTGAGCCAACTATAGTTCGGTAGAAAGTTAGGCTTCGTGATGTCGCGCTAGTGATAGTTAAGATACAAATAATGAAGAACGATTAAGCATAAAATTTAGATGAGTTATGACTCTGAAATGGTGACCATATTCGTTGAATCCAAACCCAAAATTAAGACCGTTCGTAAATTTTTAATAGTATGGTCTGATAAAGCTACTGACTTATGGAGCTGACTACTAGTAGAATTTGAATTGTTGAGGTTATAAAAGAGATATAATTTAAGAAAATATAGGTATTATCGATTAAGGTTTGGCTATCGCCAATCTTGACAAAAAATTGTTTTAGGCAAAGATCAGAATAATGATCAGAGCTATAATACTCTCTTCCCCGAAACGGAATTATAATAACGAATGAAATTTCTCAAACGACTCTTCTCTTTTTCATGATGTGACACGCACATGAAGTTCGAATTAATAAACAATAATCGTAATATAATGAAAAGAGCAGGAAAAGAATAATTTTTAGTGAGATTTTTTCTGTCTAGTTTTTGGAATTACGATTTTTATTTGGACAACATGGAAAGAACATGTACACAGAAAAATTACAGAGTAAAGTTGTTGCAATCGATTGTATATCAACCTAAGTTTGTCTTATTCACGCTTCAAGAATACTTTGAAATATTGTAAATCCAATGATGAAAAAGAATGTGCTTGATTTGTTGATTTTACTAAGCTCAAAATATTCCTTCCGCTAAGCAGCTTTGATCAAAAATATTCTAACAGGCATTTTTATGGCCTGCGCAATCGAAGGAGTTTTGTTCGTAGTAAATAAAATTCCCTGAATCGTGGAAAAAACGTCCACGTCAACGACACACCGTGTGCGGATATCTTTTGCTCAGAAATTTAGAGAAATGCACGTTATGGAAGTACAATTTTAGAGATTACACTGAATTAACATCATCTTTAAGAAAGTAAAAAAAGTTTTAAAATTGTATATTGGGTCTATCCATCCCTTGATATCTGATCGAGCGCACAACGCAGACTATAGTTTGCTGTGTGCGTTGCTGCGCCAAGTCACATAAGTCCTTTTTTTTTTTATATATAGATAGGTCCGACAAATGACTCCACCCCACCTGATGTTAAGTGAAGGTGAAGTCCAGACGTGACGATAGCTGATACAGCAGTTTTACCTGCCACACCAGCCATCCTCACCCTGCCGGTCTGCATGTTGCTTCTTCACGCCTCTTTTAAAGGATCCCAGGTTGTAAGAGGGAGGGAACACGTGAGCGGGCAGAGCATTCCATTTACGGATAGTGCGGCAAAGAAATGAGTCACCAAATTTCTTTGTACGCGTTGGAATTGTGGCCACAGTTAGACGATGACAACGTAGGCCAGCACGCGTGGTCCTCTGAAGGAAAGGAGAAGGTGGGATAAGAGAGAATAACTCCTCAGAACACTCGCCGTGGTACAAACGATAGAACGCGCTTAGTGACGCCACGTCACGGCGTAATTGAAGAGGCTCAAGGTGTTTAGTCACCTCCTCATCGCCTATGATGCGGATCGCGCGTCGCTGTAACCTATCGAAAGCATCGAGCAAGTACTTGGCGGAGCCATCCCAGAGGTGCGAGCAATTTTTTCGGAGACATCCCCCTTACTTTTGTCCAATCCGATCCTGTCTTGGGAATTTTTGTGCACGGCTCTTTTAATATCTCGTGTGCGTTACTCGATGTAGTTATAAGCGATCTATTATGTCGGACGAAAAAGTCCGCAGACAAGTCCTTCGTCTGCGCAAGTCAAAGTAGGCTACGAGAATCTCAATGTCAATCTATTTAAGCGGAAAGGAGACATGCATTCTCCATCCTTAAAATTAATGGGTTTGAGACTGGCATATTGCAAGGCATCCTAACCAACCTTCTATGGGAGGAGGCTGGTGTGCTTTGCAATATGGTAGCAAAAAAATTATGTAATAATTAAGTAGTTTTAAGAAAATTGTATGGTTACGATGGGGCTGGTATGGGCTGGACAACTTGGTCCGACAGTCCCTTAAAACAAAAAAAAAACTATTTGGGACGAACGAATTTCAAACAAAAATAAGTAAGAACCTTACAGAGTTTCGATCAAAATTTAGATTTTCGTTGAAATAGAGTAGGATCAAATAAAAAGTTATAGGTATTAATTTGCAAAACTTACCAGTTTCAAAAGTCCGGAGTGCTTCCGTGGGCAACCACTGCATCCACATATCCACTAAACGCCTCGACGGCGGTGGGTCATTATGGCCCAACGCTGGGAACACAAACTGACTACTAAACGTCCTACTGAGCACGTCCGTTACATTCCTAACTGCTTCTAGTTTGAATTCTTCACTCATATGCTCCATCGAAGAAGAGAGGATGTCTCTGTGAAAGAAGGTATTGTTTAAACATATGGCTTGGCATAGGTAATGGTCAAACATAGTTTTTAATAAACCTTTGCATATGATCATCACCTCCATCTGGTATTTTCAGAGAGGTACCTACCATACCTTTCTTAAAATACTAGATGGGATAACATAGCATATAAGAACGCTCGTCTAGCGAATTATAAGAGAGATAATAAGACATAGCGGATTTCACGCTGGAATTGGAGCGCCCGCCTGGGGAAGAAATCTCCTCCTTACAGAAGACCGTAAAATAACACTAGATTTTGTTGGTGTTGTGTTTCTGTTGGTGAGTAAGGTTCCAGGGCTCCGCGAGGTAGGGGATTGGGTTCAGGCCGGCAAGGTGAGGCTGTCTGGTGTGGCATACCTTGCGGCACCATCTACCTTCGTGACTGGACTCCTTTTATACTTACTCAGTTGGGGTGGAGGAGGGTATTTTTTGCGCCACGTATAAAAAAATAAGCTCCACAGAAGATCGAAATGCAGTGGTACTCAAAATCTTATGTGGTTTTGCGTTACTGGCGTCACAGTAGATGATAAACTCTTGTATGAGGTCACACCATATCATGCTTGTATACCACTCTTTTTTCTACCAATAATCGATAATGGTATCGTAAAGCTCAGGTAACTTCACCGTTACATAAAAAAAACATTACAAAGTATTTTATTATGACGCTGGTAGATGTCTGTCTATGTGATTGAAATCACAATAACAGTCCTTTCATAAGGTAACGCATTTTCAACTCTGATATAATTCTACTTAGTCTAAATTTACAATACCAGTGATCTTTGTTGTGCAAGGGAAACGCATATCTTTCACCCTGCTCAAATGCTCCATAACGATGGATCGTGAGTATTCGGTCATTATCGACTGCATATACAAGTTGCATATCAATCACGACATGAGTGTACAAAAACGTCCCACTAACCGTAGCACGGGTTCACAACCGGACCTATCTAAGATTCGTGATGATGTCTCATATATACCACAACGGAAGAGGAAAGTACCCGATTGCGACTGCAATATTCAAGAAATACTTTATGACTTCCAAGATAAAGTAACAGCTTTGATTAAGACAGCTTTGGATACTCAAAATGAAAGTGTAATATGCGCTTTGGAGGCGTTCCGCAGTGATTTCAATAATTTCAAAACGCAAATTAGCGAAATTAATAAAAGTGTTGTGGAGCTGTTTGTGGAGCAAAGTGACATTAACAGTGATATTTCTTTATTGTAATCCTCAAATATAATAAATGATCAAAGGGTATACTCGGTCACTAAGGAACTGGCTCAGTTACAATCAACGCTCGACACTTTGTCTGAACAATTGCTAGTAAAGGAACATTCTTGCCAAAGAAGAAAACTATAAGTTTAAGTGGATAACAGATTGCAAGATTTCAGTGCGTTAAACTACAAGGCTTTATTAATATCTAGTGAAGTGGACCTGAGTAAAAACCAATGAGTATTTTAATCAAACTTCAAAATGTTTATGGTGTTGTGTATTTTTTATTGTATAAATAAGATTAGCTTTTTGTTTTATTTGTCTTTACGAAATAAAATAGTAAACTACATTCTACTATTTGCCTGTTATTAATGTTGGTGGAACCTTTATCTTTTATTTACCTTACTGGCACTGTTTGTCTGTACATAAATATAAAATTCAAACAATTCGTGATGTTAGATAAGGATAGCTTTTCTATTTACTATCAGAACATTCGAGGGTTGCGCACCAAATCACATGAGGTCTTGAGAGGTATATTAAACAGTAATTATGATGCAATATGTATTACAGAGACCTGGCTGATTGATAACTTTCACGTTTCGGAGTATTTTGATCGCAGGAATGCGATTTACAGGTGCGATCGAAACGTAGTTGCTAGTGGACGTTATCGGGGTGGTGGAGTGTTAATTGTAGTTCGCAGTGAATTTTGCCCTATCCACCGCAGCGCCGCGCCGCCGCCGCATACTGGGCGGAAACGACTAAAACTACGCGCAAGGCAGTAAATCTAATCAAAATGAAACCCCCAGCAAAAAAACCCAAAAAAGGGATCTTAATACCGAGTACAGGCCATTTCTAAACTGTGTGTTAGTGGTAAAATTCTATAAAAAAATGTTACATCACAAATATCTTTCTTTTCTCGGCAATCATTGTCTGATATACAACACGGTTTTTGTAAACATCGCAGCGTGGACAGCTAAATGATCCCTTTTTCTGACTTATTGGTAAATGCTATAAATGAACATTATCAAGCGGATGCCGTGTACACCGACTTGTCCAAAGCATTTGACAAAATAAATCATGATATACTACTTAAGAAACTAGCAGAGGTCGGTATGCACGGTAGCCTTCTCAGATGGATCGATTCATATGTCAGAAATAGAAACCAGGCAGTCTGCGTAAAGGGGTGTTGCTCTCAGTTCCTGCCTGTACCTTCTGGAGTTCCTCGAGGGTCCCATATTGGACCATTGCTTTTTGCTATCTATATTAATGACATGAAGCTCTGTTTAAAAAATAGTAATTGTTTACAATATGCTGACGATACTAAGTTATTCATAGTTGTCAAATCAGTCAATGATTATTATAATTTGCAGGAAGACTTGATTTCTTAGGAGAAGTATTGTTTTGATTTTCAGTTGTATACCCTAATAGCGATAAATGTCAAATAATTTATTTTACTCGTAAGAAAAATAGCATTTCTTTCAACTCTAAAATTAATGACACATCTCTCAAAAGAGTCACTGAAGTTAAAGATTTGGGTATCATTTTAGATTCTAAATTAACGTTGAAGAATCATATCTACCATATACTGGGTTCTGCTTACCCTAACCTAGGTTTTATTCTCAGGATTTGTAAACCCTTCAGTCAAATATCAACATTGAAAATATTGTTTTTTGCGTTTGTTAGGTGTGTTCTTCTTGTTCTTGATTTTGTAGCACATTTTAAGTATCTGCTACCAGGTGAATATAAATCGCATTGAAAAGGTACAATAATAGTTTATAAAATCTCTCAACTACAAGTAACAAGATGTTATCACTCTGTGACCGACGCAAAATATTTGATAAAGTATTTCTGTACAAAATATTGAACAATATTGTAGATTCGCATACATAGTAAATTGTCACACATTCGGCTACCCGTGTAAATTGTCATGTAAGCTTCCATTTGGGGGGAGGGGCGGCTGATGTGAGCCCAAGTGTACGTTGTTGGGCAATTCACGTCTACCGTCAAGTGTCACTCTTACGTCCACGTCGTTCACCCCGGTAATACTTGGATCTGCTAACAGGCAACGTACACTAACACCTACCCTGGGATCCTCGTAGCTGAATTTAGTGATGCTATCCCACTGATGCACTCCAACATCAAGGGAGACATTTCCCGCGACCCGCACTCCCTTCTCTCCAACTCCAATTAATCGTTAACCCCTCCCTCATCCTGAATCCTGTCACTCCTTAAGGCCGACCCTAACAAAGGCCTTCGGCTCTACCGGGAAAATGGGAGGCGGCCCGGTAGACTATTAGCCTCTCCTGCGCTATGGTCTGCGCAGTTGAGCGCCGTAAGGGGGGATGAAGGAGTCCTGGAGGGTTGAGTGAAGCGAGGTCGGCGGTAGTACCTTCGCGTAGCCTCTTTGGGTAGCGCCAGAGAGGAAACGGTCACGCGTCCCGTCAGAGGGCCGCAGCGAGGAGTGGAGGGGTCCGGGGCGGCTTGCCGTTCTGGATGGTTAGGGTCATGCTGACGAGGCAAGGGTGTGTGGAACAACTGGGGTACTCTGAACCGGTAAACCAGCCACACATTTCGAGCTTCCGATGTCGCACCTGACACCAACTCTCTGCTCCTATATCCAGTCGGTAATCCTAGTGCACTATGGGCACTCCCAAATGTGCGGGCTCCAAGGAGGGTGGGAAGCTGACTGGATGAAGTTTAAACACACGAACTATGGACGATGACGATGACTATGACGATGGCGATGGCGATGGCGATGGCGATGGTGATGGCGATGGCGATGGCGTTGGCGATGGCGATGGCGATGGCGATGGCGATGGCGATGGCGATGGCGATGACGATGACGATGACGATGACGATGACGATGACGATGACGATGACGATGACGATGGCGATGGCGATGGCGATGGCGATGGCGATGGCGATGACGATGACGATGACGATGACGATGACGATGACGATGACGATGACGATGACGATGACGATGACGATGACGATGACGATGACGATGACGATGACGATGACGATGACGATGACGATGACGATGACGATGACGATGACGATGACGATGACGATGACGATGACGATGACGATGACGATGACGATGACGATGACGATGACGATGACGATGACGATGACGATGACGATGACGATGACGATGACGATGACGATGGCGGTGGCGATGGCTTTGGCGATGGCGATGGCGATGGCGTTGGCGTACGGCTGGCAGAAAATTATTTGGTTCGAATGTTAAAACATCCATAAATATAGGCATAAATGCCGCGTCATTTGATTGGCTCTATTAGGTGGAAGTGTAGTTTACGCCTGGAGGGTGAGGGGTAGGTCGGGGAGTTGGTTTACCTGGTAGGTACGTGAGCTGGTCGGCTGGCTAGCCGCTCGGACTGCGGTCCGTGAGACTAGCCAGGCGACGCTGTGAACGGAGAAGCCCAGGATCGGCTAAAGCGGGTGCGGACCGGGCTGCTGTTCGGAGGCGGGGTGGTTTGACGTATGCCACGCTTGCGTGAGTGTACGTCAAAGTATACCCGCACCGACTAGCGGCCCTCGGGCGGCTCGCCGCTTGCCGAATGCACCACGCAATTACCGGCGTCGCGAGGGTTTATTAACAGCATACCAACGTTGCGTTGGTCATTGTCGTGGATATAATACATTTTACTCCCCGCCATCGAAAAAAAAAAGGTGGAAGTGTAGTGGGTTCATGCCGGGGACATCGGTTCCCGTACAAACGGTTTATGGTCACCCT